AGCGTTCCGCGCGCGCCTCAAAGAGCTCATGAACCACCACAGATGGGGTCCTATAGGGCTGATGTTCAGCCGGGGTTGTGGGTTAAGCGCAAGGTCACCGTGGCCTCGGTCCAGAGCAGGAGAAGGAATGGGGGGTTTTTAGTCAGTAAGAGTCTGACACGCTCTCTCGCCTTACCCTGGGCTGGATAAACCATTTGATGATTTTCCCATGACAAAAAACACTAAGGGACACACAGTACTTCTGACTTTTTAATATAGTGCGTCTACTCTTCAGAATACAGAACAATACTCATGTTCAACGAATAAAGTGATCTTTATCTTTATAATAGGTATATTTATACTTTTACCTTCTACTCTCCCTTTTACCTTATTTTTTGTCGATATTTGGAGTGTAAACATAGGAAATATAAAATGGCATATTAGTATTAAAGTTCCTAACTAATTCGAGAGACACTTGTGGGGCCGGTTTTAAGCTGTGGATAATCTTATTGGTCTATTAACGTTTAATTGGTTCTCAAGATCAAAGATATTACGGGCTTTCTAACGATTAAATAATAAACTTAAGCTGGTTATAGCTCTTGAATATGGTCAAAATAAATCGTGGCCCAGGTTTCTTCGGTAATTTCTGGTGTTTTGCTTTTGAGATTTTCGGGACATGGAATTTCCATCAAAAAAGTTAAAGGATTACATGACTAACAAATCTCGTAATTTTTCAACTCGTAAGCTTTTCACATCACATCATTAGCTTATAAATATGTGCCCACTGCTGAGCAAAGGCGTCTTCTCACACGGAGAAGGTATGCGCATTAATCACTACGCTCGCTTGCTCATGGCGGTTTGGTGATTTCAAATTCATAATTATAAATTATAAGTCCAGTCTTAGAGAGTACTTATAACTCAAAATACTCAAATTGATAGATAGGTACTAGCCAGGTTTTGACCCACACCTTCATTCACGAGAAATGAGCGCCGTAATTAATCTGTTTTGTGTTTAGGTTATTCCCGTCACAACCCCTCCAAACCACTATAACTCCTGTTAAACAGAATCAACAATAGATAACTCAATGAAATAAAAAATATTTTTAAATAAAAAATAGTTTACCTGATTTAAAAAATAAATAAACAACTTTATTCGATTGAGACGCCAAACTTCCGAAAGTCACAATACATTTTACGATGTCCGAGAGAAACCACGGAGTAATAATCGTATCCGTTTCGTTCCCAGCTCATTACACGGTCCGGCCGCCGACCCCGGGCCGGTCCGTGATAAAATCGCAATCGTATACCGGAGTAAGTAACTTCTGATCATAATTTGTTCAGATCCGTTGTAACGTATTTACGATTTTCGACGGTTTTTTTTTTATTTGATCAAGGGTCAAGTCATCATCTTCTGTTCGTTTTGGTTAGTTTTTTTTTATAAAATGTCAAACTTGACAATGCAATTTTTTATATTACAAAATGTACCTAAACTAAATAACAGTTTTTCGAACCTAACATAATGTTTGATAATAAAGATTAAGAAAAGTTTGTTGTTGTGTGCGCTGTTGTCGAAAATTTAAATGTTGTTATTGAAAAATTATAGAATCCACTCTATACAGTCTATTATTGGATTTCAGAATTTAAAAGATAATCTTTGTATTAATTACTAAGGCCCTGTACACAACTTCTGTATAGCCACTGTGGACTACGTAAAGAATATAAAATGTAATTTGTATGAGCAATTGTCAATTGTCATAAAAGATTATCGTGACTTATATGCAGATGGTGAAAGAGGAGCTTAGATTGTCCAATAGTAGATTTTTATGTTTATGACATACACACCTAATTAAAAGTTGTTAGTGGGCGGTAACCATTTTTTTCACGAACTTAAATTAACCAGAACAGAAGCACAGACATTCTTTATGACACGACATCTATACGACTATATGGCGTGTCGCATTCTGCGAGCGGTTCCAGAAGCCAATAACAGATGGGGCCTCTACGGCCAATGTTCATAGGGTGAGGGTAATATTACATATACAAATGGTATCACCGTGATGGGGTTGTAGTTCTTATGGTGTACTGCAACCTGGATAGGAGAAGTAATAGGGTGGTATTCATTCGGGAAGTGACTGATACTCCACTGCCCTACACGGGGTGAGCGAAAACCCAATTTGGATACTTTTTACCTGTAAAAAATGATTTTATGCCACATTTACATAATTACTAGTTGTACTATGTCTAAAACTGTTGCGTAAACAAATCAGTGTAGGTATTACACGTGACTCGGGCAGAAACATTTTGTGTTGATCGAAATAATAAATGTTGAACAAAACGTAGTCATAACAACATCCGTACATTTGTTAAGCTTTGAAATTTAATTTTCGCTATTACTTTGACATCGTTGGTATCTTCAAATCGAATCCATTAAAAATTTTAAGCAATGTTACAGAGTAGAGCAGCAACAGATTATTTTTATTGAAATTTTGTTTAGACATGTTTTTTTTTTGATAAAAATAGTTCTTATACAGAATGTTAAACCTACTCCTAATGAATAATATTTTTTAACTTTTAATTAATTATATAGAAATTTAACGTAGTATAAAAACTGTCTGAATTAAAAAGTCCGTAAGTACTTACCCATTTCGTAAAATAAGAAACATCATTATCTGTGCTTATTTTTAAAAGAAAAAAGAATGCGTGACTAATCGCAATATTGTATTGAACTGGATTTCGCAATCGGAAATTCGAATTTGAATCTCACATTGTTTATACCGCGAATGAATTTTAAAATTGCTTTTGTAATTGACAGACAAACCGACAAAGATAATGTATGATAAGCTAAAATTTGTCCGAAGGATGCGATAAAAATAAATCTGTTGAATTATTAATACTTTTTGATTAAATTTTTCACTTTTAAATAGATTGAGTGCACAGATGGCGTGGTTGCTGAGAAAGTCCCGCGTGTTTTCCGAACCGAAGAACTCTTTGTATGTCCCACAAAGTGGTGTTTAGACTCTGCGTGTCACGTGTATGTGAAATAATATGTTTTTAAATGCACTTATTGTCCAGAAATCCTTAAGAATGAAAAAGTTTTATTTAAATAAATAAAAAAAAATGAAAGAAATGTCGTCATTTGATAAGTAAGAGGATAACATATATAGTATACCAAACTATATAATTTATCATGTTTCTTCGTATTTTATAATATACAGATACATTATTATTACTTACACATAATAAATTACTGACTAGTTATGCATAAATTTAGCTTTTATAAGAACAATTTAAAATAGAGTTTTTTTTTTTATAAAATCAAGGAAAGGTCAATGCCTAATATTTATTCTCGATCTTGTTTGTTTTGTCTGAGGTTCCGCGTTAGTTTGTGTCTAGCTATAAAAGTAACATTTTAAAATAAAATAATAAAATTTATTTAGTATTTTAATATTTCAATTTAAATCTCTTTTATTGGCACCAACTTAAGCTAGACGAAAAGATGTAACGGGCAAAACCATTAGACCTTCATAGTAACGTAGGTACTTATTAGTTCAAATAAAAATAATTTAATATGTATTACATATAAAGGAAATAATTAAAGAACTACCAACATAATAAGAGTTATGTTCAATCAAGGAAAAATACAATTTGTTGTATCTACAATTGAATGTTATATGATTAATTAATTTTATTGTCACTCAACATATTTATAGTTGTTGTGTATTGTTTGTTTTATAAAGTTTTTAAAATACAAAAATGAAATAGAATTTATTCCACTTAGCTCCTGCTCACGTCATGAAGGTTTTTCACCGCGTTTGTTGCAATTGGATGGAATTACAAGTGCAACCGTTATATTTGGTTTCTTGTTTAATCAAACTCAGTTAAAAAAAACGGCAATTACACGGATACTAATTGATTAATTTGAACACAGCTTGTTATCATCATCATTTAAACGATATTTTAGAAAAAAATATTGTACGGTACAGATATTTTTTTCTAAAATATCATTTAAATGAAGATACATCGTAAAATCAGTAATTCATAGTTAATCATCAACATCATCATCAGCTAAATGCAAAGACTTCTTCTCACATGGGGAGGAATAAATCAAAAGTTCAGGTTTCCTAACGATGTTTTCCTTCGCCATTTGTCGATGGTGTGTAATTACAGTTAGAAAGTACACACGACTGCGAAAAAGTCACATTGGTACTTGGTAGGTTTAGAACCCGCACTCACTTTCGTCAGTAACGGGTGTCTTAACCTCCGGAACACTATGACTTACAGTAGTTAATGCATAGGTACTTATATTTTTTTAAACATTTCATTACTCCTGTAATATTTCTTTGACACATTTATCCACAGATTTTCCAATATTTAAGAAAATACTTATAATAGAGAAGCGAATACCCGTTTTATTTTTAAACTGTGTCACAATATAACAATTGTGATGTTCAAAGTAGTATCTTATCTAACGATCTGGTTTACAAGGAAGACTGATCTTTGAGATTGTATCAAACACATTGTCGTGATTTATTATTGAGCTAAATGTTCCTTTTATAACTACAAAAGTAATATATACCTACGCTTTATTGTAATAACTATTTGTACTGTAATATTTTTCTTTGTACTTTAACAGTTTTATTTACTTTAAATTAACAATTCTATGCTAATTTGCGTATAGTCATATTTGTTTATCAAATTTTCACCTCCGTGTTTATGGATAAATATATATTTTATTATAATGTTTGGTTTAAAACATATTTTTATTTCTCAACCTTTATTCATACGTGATAATATGCAAAATAGTACAAGTTTATTTAAATTATTATGAATTTATCAACTGTAGCAAATTTAATGACAACAGAAAATATGTCGTAGATAGCTAGCTCTATATAATCGCAAGCTGTACAAAAAAAATGAAAAACCAAAAAAAGATGTTAAAGAAGTTCTCAGAAAAATGTTCGAAAACTAGATGTTGAAGAAGTTCACAGAAATCTAATATAATAATACACATTAGTACTTACAAAACTACTCGAAACCTCGTCGATTTGAGAATGTAGAGTGTCGTAGTTCTCATATCCTTCAATGACATGGTTTTCAAGCTCAATCGGCTGAGGAACCTTTATGCGAAGAGCTGGTTTCACAGCCTTTTGAGACTCCAAATCTCCATTCATTTGCACACTTTCACCACTAAAGGGACAAACCGAGGGCACATGGAGACCGTTTTGCTGCGCCATTGTTAAAAAAAAAACGTTAAAAAAGTTATCAGAATATCAATTCACTTCAATGTCTTTCGCGTAAAAACTGACGGACACGATGTCCACAGCATAATACATATGCACACCGGTTCAGATCTCTGCATGAACTGAACAGCTTGTCTTCGCGAGTTCGAGTTCTAAGTTGACGCAAAAAATAAAAACAATTTAATAGGACCGCCGCGCGCGCCGGTCTCTCCGTTTGAACTGCTCGGACAGACTAGATGACGGATATTATCACGGCTGATCAAGGTGACGTAGACTACGTAAGAGGCATTATCAGGTAGAACAACTACGCTAATCCGGATTTGTACGTAGCCGAAAATAATTAGAAAGCAATCACGGGCCAGGAAGTTATTGCCATACTGTCTCGAAAATTGTTTTTTGTGGATTGACGTACAGTCCAGTTGGAAAGGATGTATGAAGTATATTTCAAATTATGAACACTTTATTTCACGTGCAAAAGGGTTACATACGTAAAACATTCGTGTTTTTAAATTTTCATGTCATGCAACACTTGAATTAATTTATTAGTTAGGTACTTCCATGGTTTTTGTTGCGACTTGGAATCTTAGGAGAAGGCCAATGGCCACCAATGGGCCAATACGACGATAAAAATGTTTTAAAGTTATGAACGATGGTTGGGTCTGCTGAAGGTTGGTTGAGTGGTTGATATAAGGACTCTAGAGTAAGAGTTTGATAGAACGATTCCTAAAAAAAGAGGAATTAAGATAAGTCATATTGTGTCGACCTCAAATAGCTTTCGACTTGATTACTCATAATTGCATTTTTTTTATTCCAGTGTGATTTGAATTCATCCATTTCAAGGTATAGTCCAGTACTTCTCTTTGCGTTAAATCTGGCAAGGACTTGACGATGATTACAAACAAAAACTAATTTGATAAACTGTAATATGTTCCCATATAGTATATAGCTTTGGACAGATACAATGCTGATACTGAATTCACCACTTTTTTAATGGACGCTATAATATACTATACATAAACGCATTGCTCTTAAATCATTCTGTCTATTAAAAAGCTCGAATCAAAATCCATTGAGTAGTTTAAAGATCTAAACATTCCTATCTACATAGGGATATAGGGACAGAAAAAGCGACTTTGTTTTATTATATGTAGTGACTGTTTTATTATGTTTCCTTGGGGAATAACAGCGAGTGAATCACATTCATATTTCTATAGTCCTTAAGCTGTGTTCTCAGTACGGATTTTCATCTGACCACGAAGACAAAGAGTATGGCTGCCATGTTAACAAAAAGAATAAGTACCAAATCCGGGACGTTGCGTGCGTATGTCAGTAGAGTGATCTCATCTTGAACAACTTTGATTAATTTGAGATTAATCAATGTAGGTAGCTGAGGTAATTATTTGTGCTTCGTAATACATGTAAGACTTACCGGCTTAAACTAAAACGTATACCTACATAAGCAGGATATGCCATGAGCATTCTTTGCTTGTCAAATATTTTAATGATACTTACAACAAAAATATATGGAAGCTCCATGAAGAAGAAAGGGAAAAATTGAGCACTAATTGAAAAAAAAATGGATATCGATCATAGCCAAATTTTTCGAACAAAGAATAGGCTGCTCAATCGAGGCAGTGTATCATTCCAAGGCATCGCATGCTACTTTATAAGGCGTAGTTTCGACCCCATATGGAATACTGTCCTCATCTCTGGGTGGGGGCGCCCCAGTACTAGCTTCTACCTGTGGACCGCATTCAACGACGAGCCATCTGATTCGTTGACAGCCCTGATGTCTCAGTCCGGCAAGACTCTTTGGCACTGTATAGGAATGTAGCCTCGTTGTGTGTCCTATATCGCCTGTACTACGGGGAGTGTCCCAAGGAATTGTTCGGTTCAATACCCGCCGCATCCTTTCGCCATCGACCCACGCGAAAACGTTATCATCCCCATCATATATGTAGATGGTTGGCAGTCAATAACTGTGCGATTTTCGCGAAACTTTCTCCTCCGCACAGCAAAACTTTGGAATGATCTTTCGGCGGCACCAATACGACACACAAAACTAAGACAAACTCCTTTTAAAAAAACGATCCGGTAAAGCGCCTGTGACTCCTCTGTTTTTGCAAGTGTCCATGGGTAGCGCTGATCACTTAACATCAGGTGATATGTCTGGTCGTTTGCCTCCTATTCCATAAAAAAAAAACAAAAGTAACTTTAAGTATCTAAAGGTAAAACACATTTTCCATTATACTATACCTAATGTTAGTTTCATATTATTGTCGAATATCTTATGTTACACATAGCTTATAAAAATTACGTTCTATAATCAAATTCATTTGACATATGGTGGCTTTTCAGATAAAAATTTTTGAAATAGGAATAACTTTGTCGTCTGTCTTTATTCTTAGGGAAAATTAAAAAAAAATGAGATACCGTGTCAATCTGTAGGTACATTCAATGCCCATAGTCTTAAAAAAACTGATGTTGATTCATCTTAAAAAAAACATCGATTCAGTAATCAACATGTTATGTAAGTTATTTCAAAGTTTTACGTTATGAATGACAAAATTAAATGCTTAATTTATGAATGAACGTAATATAACATAATTTAACGTTTTTTCCACAAAAGTATACAGATTTTATAGACATCACATTTTCCTTATATTAGTAGGATAGTATAATATGGAAGTATTTACCCGATGCCATTTATAAAAAAATGATATATATAGCATATTACTGATAATTCAGTGCAATTTTAATAAGATGACTAATCTGCCGTCAATAGCATAGTTGCAGTAAGTCGGGTTTTTGTCAAAATTGAGTTAGATATACAGACGTGATCACGAGAACGAGATCTACGTATACATCTTACTCATTAATTTCTATCGTTTTTTAATTCATATTTAGCAATTAAAAATTTGCAGTAAGTTGAGCATTTTTTTTACATCACAAGGCATTATTACAGTGGGCACACTTACGGTAAAAAATCTTGTTCTGAGTCTCTCAGCATAAGTACAGTATGACTACTATACTACTAATATGTTAAGTCATTTACTTTATTAAAATTTAATTTGGGTCTAGCAAATAAACATTAAGAAGATATACTGTTTTGATCCCAAGCAGTTTCCCAATATTTACTAAATGAGTGGTCTAGTCTTAAAAACAATATGCCGCGATACTGCATGTATGCTTAGTATTGATCCTAAGCGTAGGTTTCAGATTACTTACTACAAAGACAGTTCGATGCGATATTGAATTTATGTTTAGTAACGTAATCAGATCTAACATGAGGTTAATCATTATTTACAGAGCATATAGCCATCCTGTGATTATGTTAAGGCAGCAGTTGTAGCGTAAGAGTCAGGTGTACTTATCATGGAAGCTGTAAATTATCTATATTGTATCCATGCTTAGGAAGTACATACATATAATATGATCTAACGACTAATTATAAAAATTATAAATCGTTTTTACTGCACGTTTAAGTAGCTGCGATATAGTGCCACGTCATATACTGTGCAAGTAAAGTTGCTTTACTGTGAACATAATTCGTCGTTGTAATTAAACGTCACGGAATTTATCTTATAACACAAGCAGTAAGGAACAATTGAAAGTATAATTTATGTATTCCTTGAATACCTACGTAAACTTTTCGATTACTATGAAGACGATTTGCGAGTGCGCGAGGGTGCACGGGAGTGTGCGGGGTTGTGATGGGAGACTTCAACGCAAAGGTATACGGAATGGCGATGAGTTGAAAGTGGGGCCATTTGGATGTGGGCAGCGAAATCATCGGGGACAGCACCTGGTAGACTTTATGGAGAGGGAGAGTCTCTATCTGATGAACTCCTTCTTCAAAAAACGACCGGCCAGGAGGTGGACCTGGATAAGCCCTGATGGGACAACCAAAAATTAGATCGACTGCATTATGGCGACCGACAAGCGTATATTCAGTAATGTCTCTGTAATTGCTAAAGTGAAAACTGGTAGCGATCACCGAATTGTCAAGGGCATACTGAATATTAATGTCAAGCTGGAAAGGTCACGTCTGGTGAAGTCGACACTCCGTCCTTGCCGCGCTCAGATTCGGAACCCCGAAGCCTTTCAACTCCAACTTCATAATCGCTTCCAGTGCCTTACCGATTGCGAAACCGTTCACACAATTAATAATGGGTTGGTGGAAACTGTCCGAGCAGTGGGGTCGGAATTCTCTAAGACATCTCGCCGAAACAAGCCTCAAAAGCTCGCGAACGGAACATTAAAGCTCCTGAAGCACCGAAACGAAATGAGACTACAGTCTTCAGCCGATATGTCAGAATACGGTAACCTCAATAGGCGAATTTCAAAAGCCATGCGACGCAATTTGCGTGCATGTAATACTGCTCGAATTAAGGAGGCCATCGAGAGAAACCAGGGCACAAAAGTCTTCGCAAAAAAATCGTCTATTGGGAAAAGCCAAATAACGAGGCTGAAGACCGGTAATGGTAGCATCATTTCATCGAAATCGGAGATTCTGAGAGAACTCGAGAGGTTCTACGGACAGTTGTATACCTCAACACGGCAATCCATTGTCGGTGCAGCTCGGGACCCAAGAGCTAAGCTGACACGACACTATACTGAGGATATCCCAGACATCTGCCTGTACGAGATTAGGATGGCTCACAAGCAGCTTAAAAACAACAAGGCACCGGGCGATGACGGAATCACAACAGAACTTCTGCGAGCGGGTGGGAAACTGATACTTTTAGTCCTCCAAAAGTTATTTAATTCCGTCATACTCGAAGGTAGTACGCCCGAATCATGGCAAAGAAGTGTTGTAGTTCTGTTCTTCAAAAAGGGAGATAGCACTTTGTTGAAAAACTACGGACCTATTTTACTTCTGAGTCATGTGTACAAGCTGTTCTCGAGGGTCATCATGAACCGTCTCGAACGCAGGCTCGATGACTTCCAGCCTCCCGAACAAGCCGGGTTCCGGAAAGGCTTTAGCACCATAGACCACATACACACGCTTCGCCAGATAGTACAAAAGACGAGTATAATCAGCCATTGTGTCTAGCGTTTGTGGACTATGAGAAAGCCTTCGATTCAATCGAAACCTGGGCAGTGCTGCAGTCTCTCCAGCGATGCCATGTCGACTGTAGATACGTCGACGTGCTTAGGTGTTTGTACAGAAACGCCACCATGCTCATTCGGCTCCAGGACGACTGCACAAAACCAATCCAATTGCAG